AAGAAGTACTAAAATATTATGTATCACGCTTCAAAATAAAAATATATATCCATAAAGCAGGAATTAAGTTTTTTTTTTTACTATTTTTGATCTGATAATAGTTTTTTTGTAGTGAATGGAAATTTAGTACATTGATTAATAACACGAAGACCTAAAATGAAACTAACGTCGCATCGTTTTATTAAGAAACCTTCCTCTCGATTCTAACGACGACAAATTTAAGAAAATAAGTTCATAAATAAGGGAGAAAAGTCATTTTAAAAATACTATGTACAACAATCCTTGCTCTCATTAAGTAACTAACAATTATTGAACAAGTTGATGGCTTTTATGTAACTAACAGTGATGTTACCCAATAACCAAAGATATTGCCTGAAATGTTTTTTTATGTTATTTAAGTGTAATAATTTCGATGACCACCATTTTAAAACTAAACATAATAAAAAAATACAATTTCTTCTTAAAATATGTCTTTGCGTTACTAAACTCAAATTTCTTTCAAAACGCCGTTGTCACACGAAAAATAGTTTTTTACAAGAATGAAATAGCTGCTGTACAAAGTTAGCTAGCTTTGGAGTTTAAATTTGTAACGTAACATTTTGGTTCGCCTTTGGTCCCGGGTATACCATACAGGTCGATGGAGAGTTCAGGGACACTCAGTAAAGTTTGTAATCAAGACAAACCTGTACAATCAGGTCGTTCCAACTAATTAGTGAACTGTCGAAACAATGTTTACCCAAAGCTAAAGAGGCTAACGTATACAACTAGGTATCTGCTATACAGGGTGGTTGGTACTCAGTGTGACAAAACATTTTTGGTGTAAGTACAAAGTAAATGTAGTGTGATGATGCATATAAAATGTTCCAAGTCCAAAAATTCCAGCGATTTCTCAATTACCTGTATATGGATTTGAGTGGATAATGTCATTTTCGTGTTCTACATTAAATTTTGAATAAGAATAATACAAAATGACCGAGGATCAGTTGTAAAGACTCCGTTGTAAAATAGATTCAAAGATAAAAATTAAGATGTTCGATACAAATTTTAAAAACAAAGGTCTAATACATTTTTCTCGCCCTGTATACAAGAAGGTGTCGGAATATGTTAAAAACTGCGCCATTTTATAAGCTTTCCAACCATATGCTACACTATTGAGGTTTAGATATTATTTCGTTTGTTTTAGCGGTTTGAATGCCAGAAAACAGGGAACTTTTTTATTGTTTTACTGTTCAAGCTGAAACAAAAATACAACTTTTGCTTAATACATGCCGACTTTCTATGTTTTAAATGTTAGAGACAATATGCTTTGTAGTCTTCAAACCACTAAAGCGTACATAAGCAGACATAAAGCTCAATGGTGTAGCATGTGGTTGGAAAGCTTATAAAATGGCGCAGTTTTTAACATATTCCGACACTTTCTTGTATACAGGGTGTGGACAAATGCAATTTGACCAATGTTTTTAAAATTGTTATCAAACATCTTAATTTTTATCTTTGAATCAATTTACAATGGAGTTTTTACTACTGATCCTCTGTCATTTTGTATTATTCTTATTCAGCATTTAATGTAGAACACGAAAATGACATTATCTACTCAAATCCATTTATATTTAATTGAGAAATAGCTGTATTAAGTTTAAAAACATAGTTATTTTTGAAAAACATAAAATAATCTTTTGGGAAGCTAATTTTTAGACTTGGAACATTTTATATGCATCATCATACTGCATTTACTTTGTACTTACACCAAAAAATTTTTGTCACACTGATTACCAATCACCCTGTATTCATACATTATAAGGATAATATAGGATTCACCAACCTACTCAATTGATTTATTGAGAAATAAATCAATTCATAAACACATTATCTATTCCTGTATACAGATTAGAATAATAGATTTCAACAGGTAGATCAGTGGTGTTCGGTACGATGGACGCCAAGGCAGCAATGCCGTGGGTTCGATCCTGGTTCCCATCTCTAAATTTTATCACACGTATTGTAAGCTTAGGGGATGAGTTTACTGCATACGTTCCAAGCATGGCCCGAGGTCTATGGATGCAAATACAGACTTAAAAGATAAATACTCATAGAAGTGAAGTGCTTTGACTTAAGCATATGCTGTTTTTGAGTTGAATTTTATAATGTCAATACTTTTGAAAATTAAATATTTCTAGAATGTCCTCCTAATAGCACTTTTGTAGGGTAAAAGCAACGTAAACAATAGTTAAAAGCTTACAATGGCAGTTTTAAATTGTAAAGCTTTAAATTATAATTTAGTTCTTAGCTTCTTAAACCACTAAATAATTACATTTACGAGCTCAAATAAAATAAACTATCCGTATTTATTAAATTATTAAAGGAATTAATATTTATTAAATTTAGTAATAAAATTTAGATAGAATTTTTTAAGAATAATGATGAGTTACAACAAATGATAACGAACCATTTGTAAAGGTCTAAACTGTGAACGAAATAAATTATTGACATTGCCTAGCAAGTGGGCCATCAGTACCTCTCCGTGTCTCATTCGGTCAAATGGGCCGTCGGAATAAGAATGAGTCTCATATGTATTATTGTAAAATAAAAACACTACCATCGATGTATAACACTACTTACCATGCCATTCCTCCTTCCCCTCTCCAACGTAAACGGTATCAGCAAACTGACCCATAATTTCTCTCATTAGCTTGTCAAATACCGTGGAGTAAGGGTAAATATGATATTGATGGGTATAATAAACAATTGCAATAATCTTTGAACCGTATTTTTTCAGAATTGGGGGCTGTACCATTTTGTTTATAGTTAAACGGACCATACGATAAAATATTTCAATCAAACTCGATTAAGCCATTTTAAAATCAAATACTCCATTATTCTATGAAAAATGAAATGTTAATTTTTTAAACTCCTGGGCATGCAGGAGGTACCATCCCGTTGAAAACTCCTTTTTGGATTCAAGGGGGGCCCAAAACTCATATCTCCACCTAAAACTCAAATTAGAAAGTTTTGACGAAAACAATACTTTCTCCATATTGCGAGAAGAAAGTGAACAGAACAAAACTTGAGGTACAAAATTGAAGCATTTGATTTTACGTACAGTCTTTTACGTTAGTTAAAATTTGATTGGTAGACAAACTCTTGCAATTCAGTCATAACTTTAAAAATCGGTAGATAAGTCCCTATAACAATTCGAATGTTAGTGTGTTAATTAGGTCATATGTGTATTTAATCATAATTTAACTTTCTTTTACAAAAAACAGCTCGGATTATTTCAACAAAAACTTCATATTGCGGTCTAAAAAAAGGATACAACCTTATTTTGCAAAAATTACAGTGCAAAAGTCATTACATTTTTACCCATAAAATACCCCACTGGCGATCCAATTACAACGGTTGTTGACAAGCTAATAGGAGGAAGTATGCATCAGTTTACTGAAAATGTTTATATCTGTATCATGCAACTCTTGAATTGCCAAGATACTGGTAGTCTCCTGGTGAGATAAAATCAAACTTGTTTAAATATTTAGAATTTTTACTTTGTTTGTATTTTTATTTCATATTCACACATCAATAAAAAAAAAACACTAAATTTATAGCATAATGACTAACAAGACATTATACATTATGTAAGTAACGCATCATAGGCCTACTGATTTGTCCATCATATTGCATCATATTGTATGTTGTTACAACAAATTGTAGGTACTATTATTATGGCGGATTTGTATGGTGTTGATACAAAGCTTAGATAAGGTCTTATATTGGAATATGACTTTTACAAGTATTAATTACTAATTATTATTAGGCATAAAGTTCTTTCATTATTTCACAGCAATGAAAATAACAAGTTATTGATAGATAATCACGATCATTATTTCTCAGGTAACATTAATTATACATGAATTTATTGCTGTTCAGTAAGAGTTTTCGCAAAGATGCAAACAAAAGTTATGTACTTACTAAGCAATTTAATTAAAGTTGTCTTTTCAGTATTCATAGCTAGGGCTAAGGGTCATCCAAGTCTCCATATAACCTTACAATTAATTGTATCATTACATTGTTATACGAGTATAAGTCAATATCTTCCCCAAATTAAAAACTAAAATCTACACAGTGGAATATGCAAACAGGATTTTCCTTATTTTAGTTACTATTATATTGACTGTTGATAACTTATCTTTACGGTACTAGGAGTTAGTTTTTTTTTATTGTAACAACAAATCAATACCCTTGGAATGTTTCACAAAACTTCAAACTGTATTTTTTTGTAATTTTGTATCTGGGCTAATATTGTAAGACATACTGTAAAAGTTACACCATTTGGTTTTGTGGATAGACATTTTAAGGCCTATGCAAAAGCCAAGCTGTCCACGAAAGTATGTTTTTATGATTTCCAATTTGTAAACAATATTATAAAAAAAAGAAAAGCACTTTTTAAAGAAAAAGGAAAAAAAACTGCGACAAATCGTTTGAGCATTCAAGAGAGAGAGGAAAAGTGAAAAGAAACTCATAACACAATCGTGTTACTGTACTATTGTATTTAGCTTCATTTTTTGGTAATTTTATTCACACATTATCATAGTTGTTGATAGAAATAATATTAATTAAACATTATTTTGCCTATAGGTTTTTCTGATCAGTAAGAAGTGAAGTGAGGTATACAAAAGAGGGAATCTAGTTGAATTGCTTAATGGATGTTAATTTTATAGTACTAAGAATTGTTATCCAGAGTACTACGTCCATAGTTGTGTTCCACAGTATATTACCGTTGTATACCGGTGTTGACTATGCAACACCGAAACATAAACAAACCGGCAAACCCTTGCAAATTAGCCGTATTCGAGTTAACTCATGGAAACGACCCAGGAAACTTTACCGTTAGCACAAGAAAATACAGAACCGCACATAAACTCCGAAAACGAGGTGTAATTAATTACCCAAGTTTCCAAAGCCACCGGAACCTCCTGGGTCGCCCGGGCCGCCCTACCCGGGCCAGGGCGGGGACCTCCCTAGAGTACTGGGACACCTGGAGGATATGTGGTTGGAAAGTGGTTGGTAAAAATTATAATTATATAGGTCGAAAGGGCATATTAGTGAGTAAGTGCGGTGGTGGAGGTATATTGATCAGCAGGGTTGTGACGGTGTGGGGGGGGGGGAGGGGGTTGCGTGCGCAGAGTGCCCGGACTGTCAGTAGTCAGTTCTGCACCCTGTGCCGTGTACCGTGTTGTGAAGTGTCGGGGTGTCTATGGTGTATGATGTGGTTCGAACCGTCGGGGCGCAGCACCTCGCCGCCCATGTAGTGGACACCAAGGTGGGCACAGGTTATGTGGAATATAAAAATACATGTTATTGACCCCTCTAAATATCCTGCTACTGATGTTACTGCCGGGATGTGAAATTGTTTGTAAATTTAATTTTTGAGATTAGGTTAGGAAATTAAAATTTTGGCGCAGGCGCCCCCTCCGGCGCGGTACTCACGCCCAATGTCACCTTCGACGGAGATTAACTTTGGTAGATTTTTTAAAATTGACGACGGTAAATTTCAACAGTGTGGGACCCAAAAGGAGTTGATATATATAACGTAGAAAATACAAAAGCCTCCCATGTGATTTTCGTGAAATGGTAGCAAATTATATGTAAACTTTTGAATTTTAACTACCGTTACCAAATGAATTTATAAATTTTATATTTGTGTCACGAATAAATACAGGATACACACAAATATTATTCAACAACTAAATGTATTTTTCTAAAAAAAAAATTAAAGAAAATACATAAACCTGATAAAACTACATTTTTAATGTCATAAAATATATTGTATCGCCGTATCATAAAAGTCGTTAGGAAAACGATACATTACTTTAATTTTGTTTTAGAAAAGCCTTACCAGTCGATTGATATTGTAACCCTCAAAAGCCTGCTAGGTTAATTTAAAATACTATGCAATGAGAGGTAATGCGCCTGGCTTGCACGATCAGTCAACTTTGTAATAGCAAAAAAAAATAAATAAAAAAAAAATAAATGAATAAAGTAAAAATATAATAAAATAAATAAAAATAAAAACAAAAAAAAATTATAACAATCACCAAAAGTCCTCGCCGCAGTTATATGATTAATAAAATGTTATATTAGTTATATGTTCAAAAGTAAGAAGTGAAAATTTAACCGTTGGAAATCCTCCAGCATTTTAAGACGTCAAAGGCTTTAAAATATCAACAAATTATTTACACTATTATCCACCTGTTTTCATAATATTCTCGTCCGTGTAATATACGATGAGATAGTGTCAAGAAGAATCAACAGGTCTTCATGAAGCATGGTAATATACAGTGCACCTGTTAGGCTTCTTGCGTGCAACGGACAAGTTTATGGAAGGGATGTTTTATACAATCATCGGTAAAGTCATTTTCACACTTAAACGTGTTTTAAGTGTTTACGCAATTGTTGAATTACAGACGCTTTTTAAATGGACGTTTAGTGATTTTGTAATATTTTTCTATCGATACTAAATGGTATTACACTACATATTAGCTTCTTTGAAGGAATGTTTGATTTGTTTACTTTTGAATTAAAAACAAACCACTATTTTCAAATACATAACTCATAGAATTATGTAATTTAAACATGACCATAAATGTTTTTTTTTTCAGAAATGATTTTAAGAATAGGATATTCGAAGGAATTACCTGTTGCTAAACTATCTTTGGTTACGTTGTGTTGAAAATAAAGTTACGTAATTAAATAAATTCACCGCTGCAACAACCCTAGCAGAGAAAGCAAAATGTATATTTGCCTTTGATTTTTGCAAAATCTTTTTATTTAAAATGTTTCATTATTACAGCATTAGATTTAACGGGTATTGAGGTTTGCTGCTATAGGGAATTACGTAATTTATTAAATATTAAATTTCTGTAAAATTAAGACACTACTTAAGTATAAATGTTGCCGGTTATTTCATTAATAAATTTATAAAATCATATTTATATACGTTACTCTAAGACTTTTCATAAATTAATTGATTCATGTAAACCAATTGTATTGAATTTTTTTAAGAGACTTATTGTAGGTAATATAATTGAACAAAACAAAGCGCCAACGGTTCGTAATAAAGTCACTTGCTCGTATATTTAAAACGTGTTTTAAATAGCACACGACCTTATATATATGTACCGTAAAAATACGAATTGACATGTTGCCAGTTTAATTTATCTTCCTATCCAGGTGCGGTTGGCAGTTTGTTGGGAGGGGCTACTTTGACCTAAGCGTTCGGCCATGTACCGGGCACAACAACTAACTTACGTCTTATCTGTATTTTATGGATCTATTGATTTTCTAATAGTATACATTAACTAAATGTACAAGGTGACCAAACAAAAACGGGTGAAAAATTAGTCTACCAACCAAAAATATTCTTACTCATGAAAAAAGTGACATGGTTTGATTAAAAGGAAGATTTTCTAAATTCATGTTGAAAGATAAACATTTTATACCACGCCTTTAGCTAAAGAGCGTAACGACGAAAACGGTTTTGCTTCAAACGACAGCTTCCAGGAAGTTGTTAAACCTGCTCCAAAGCGGAAAAATGAGTTTTGCTTATGCAAATGTTGAGTAAATGAACTCCATCTGTGCTTTAAACAGTCTGAAAATAAATGTAAATTTGGAGTTCAGCCTGAAAAAAGGTGAGTGAAGCAATTGCATGATTTTAGTCTGTAATTAAATCTACAACTGTGGGTTTACGAATTAAAAATTAACAAACGTAAGCAAAATAGGTTTTAAAGAGATAATTTTGAATAAAATACGTTTTGGAAATTTTAAAAATATTATCTCCAAATAAAAAAATAAAGTATAATTGTCTCTGGATCTATGTTGATAAAAACAGTATCAAAATATTAATATTTTGATGATATTGCGTTTTATATACATAATAAGTATACAAATTCGCAACACCCTTAGTAAAACAATTTGAGTTCATAAATAATTTAAAATTTTATAAATAAAATGTATTCTCCTGACTTATTTTATCTCGTACTGGCGTAATTATTTGAACAAAATACAGACTGGCGTTCGTTTTGAGCACAGCCCACACAGTTTGCGCTTGAAATTCTGGAAATAAGTGGGCCGTGAATTTTTATTACACCATCATTTGTGGCAATAACATTTTAAAATACCACTTAGGTGGGTTGTTGGGTTATAATATTTTTTATAAACAGAAATGCAATCGGTTCAATTGCCAGGGGATAAAATCATGGATTGTTGACATCATAATGTAATTAAAGTGTTGTATAGACCAAAAGTATATTTGGAAAATATTTAATAGCCTTTAGTTCCAAATATTTATTAAGTTAACCTACCCATGTTGTCAAATTTCCAGAAAAAAATCGATCATATGTTTTACACGGTCTAATTTTAGTTTTTTGCTTTCTATAGTAATGGATAAAAGGTTCACTTTTAAAACTAGGGTCTTTTGATTTCCCATTCCGTTGACTTATTCATCTGCATAAACAGATATTCCAATTATTTATTTTTGACCAAACCTTTTGTGAACTATACAAAAGGCTTTTACTCTGTTAGAATCCGGAAAATGTCTTGAACACTATTTAGTGAAGATTAAATATTTGAATAATACTTTTACATAGATTTATTTTTTATCAAAACTTATATTTAGTATTGTGTAAAAAAGAAACGATGTCTATAAACAAAACATACTTTTATATAATATCAATATTCTAATTTACACACAATTTTAAAGCAGTTTCTTAATAACAATAATCACATAAAGAGTTATAATTACTGTAATTGGTTTTTGGGGTCATCCTCATTAATAGACTTTTGTTCAATATGGATACTATGTATCCAAGAAAATACGAATTAGATCCATAATATGGATACAATCGCCCTGTATATTATTAGTATCAATTCGGATCACAAGAAATCGTGTTCGTTGTCTTTATTTTGCCACAATGTTTTTTTATAACATATATTGGTTCACAGTTAGATCGTTTTAAGACATTGACTAGATACAGAATAATGTATCAGTCAACGAATTATTTGGTGAGGATAAATTACTTTAAATGTATCACTTTAAGGATGTTTGGCCTAAATGTTTCATGACACAAATAGAAATAAATCCCAAAAAATAGGCCATATTATTAAGAAAAGAACTACATTTTAGAAAATGGAAAGGAAATTATTAAAGTATTCAATTGAAACTAAATATAAAAAAAGTTTAAAATGAGGTTTCTAAAGCAAGGGACACCTCTGATGACGTAATTCAAGCTATTATTGATTTAACAAAAGTCAAATATATAATGTAAATGGCAGTTCTTGAAACATATAAAGGATTATAGTTTTGAACTCGTTCTTTCGAAGCATAGTGCCATTTGCTCCCTGGAGAACCCAATACATTATATCCCTGGTGTGAAGTACACTGAAGAGACAGAATATATCTAAGTCTTTGTCGTTCAATGAAAGAGAGAGAACTCGCTCCAAAATGACATTGTCATGGAGGAACCCATCGAGAATACGAACTATTGTGTCACCCTTGTGAATTAAAAGAGGGGGATGTATCCACATTGCTGCAATGAAATAAGAATTGAAGGAGCTTATGAACCGTGCTGTGACCCCTGAGTATTTATAGAACAGGGAAATACTCCTTCGGAATCAATAGTATAAAAGAGAATGGAGGATTGGATATAAAATTGCACAGATAATCTCACATCGTTCTACACTTTCTTCCCTCATTATTTCGGTTAAAATTAGCTCCTTGTTGGTGTCTCTTCTTCTATTGATTTTTTTGTCCTAGGACGCTAGCTAGGCACGAGTCCGGGATGGGTTTTCACACTATTTCAGGCTAGACCTAGGGGTTGCATCATTATCACTTACAGTAGATAAAATCAATTGGTGACGGCGGGATTTGAACCCGGGACCTCAGGGACTGAAGTCCTGCGCTCTAACCACTTCAGCAGCTCGCTCCCCCACTACCTCTATTGATAATGATACTGATACTGTAGGCTATATCTGGGAATATACAGTGTGTAAATTAAGTATTGAAACAAATCTGTATTTTTTAAACCGAAATAGATAGAAATATTCTGTTTGAGGCGTTGATTGTTAACAAAGGTTCCACAATTTTTCACATCAAAAATATTTTTTTACCCCCCTAACAGGGTAGGGGGTAGACTCATTTTTTTCAAATAGCAACCCCTATTGTGTGACCCCTCATTTTGAAGGGTTTGTCAAAAGAAACACAATGACGCAAATCCGACGTGAATATCTCACCCCTAGCTAAAATGGCAGGCATTCAAAAATTTG